CTTATCTGCCACACCCGAGGAAGACCTAGAGTTATATCCAGCGTGTGCAGTAACAAGGGCAATGAGGTTGAAAGCATCTCAAGAAGAGAACGTCATGAAGGCCAACAGTAACCACGATGATGTGGACTTGAGCACCACATTCTTTGCTTCTCTTGAAGAAGAACCAACGCCAAATTCTGAAAAGCCGGCATCAACTCGAAAACAGTTGATTGAGGACCAAAAGAAGGATCCAGAGCTCGCCAAACTCCGAGAAACCGCAATGACATCACAAGAGGCAGAGCTAGCATCAACGTGCTACTACATCCAAGATGATATGCTCTTCAGGAAATGGAAACCTCCAGACGCATCCAACGAAGAAGAATGGAGAATATGCCATCAAATCGTGTTACCAGAAAGATACCGAGCGTACATCATGAATCTGGCTCATGACACACCAATGTCAGGTCATCTCGGCATCCACAAGACATACCACAAGATTATGTCACACTTCTTCTGGCCACGTTTGAAGAAAGATGTCATCCAGTACTGCCGATCCTGTCATGCCTGTCAGATGGTTGGCAAGCCAAATCAAAAGATCCCTGTTGCTCCTCTGAAGCCGATTCCAGCCTTTGAAGAACCTTTCAGCAGAGTACTTATTGACTGTATTGGTCCTCTCCCAAGGACAAAAGCTGGCAACCAATACCTGTTGACCATTATGTGTGCTTCGACTCGTTTTCCTGAGGCTATTCCTCTAAGGAACATAAAAGCATCAAACATTGTAAAGGCCTTAATCAAGTTCTTTACTCTATTTGGTCTACCAAAGTCCATCCAATCGGACCAAGGAACGAATTTCACGGCCAATCTTTTCAAGCAAGTCATGACTCAGTTGGGCATCAAACACTGCATGTCGAGTGCGTATCATGCCGAGTCGCAAGGCGCTCTTGAGCGATTCCATCAGACTCTCAAGAACATGATCCGAACCTATTGCTTTGAGCACGAAAAAGACTGGGACGAAGGAATCCACATGCTGCTGTTTGCAACCCGTGAATCCGTCCAGGAATCGTTGGGATTCAGCCCTTTTGACTTAGTCTTTGGCCATTCGGTGCGCGGTCCCTTGAAATGTATAAAAGAGACTTTGTTGTCACCAACAGCCACTGAAGGACTTTTAGAATATGTAATTAAGTTTAAAACTAGACTTTATGATGCTTGTGTTCTGGCCAAAAATAACTTACAAAACACCCAATCCAGCATGAAACGCTGGTATGATAGAAAGGCCCGTGTTAGAGAATTTTCTCCCGGGGATAAGGTGCTTGTATTTTTGCCCATACCAGGTCAACCCTTGCAAGCCAGATATTTTGGTCCCTATGAAATTGAGACCAAAATTAGTGACCTCAATTACACAATCAAAACTCCTGACCGTAGGAAAAAGACTCAGCTATGTCATATAAACATGCTGAAGCCTTATGTATCTCGGCCAGATCACTCAGAGAAGAGTAATTGTGTTTTAAATACAGTCAAAAGTTGTTCAAATAGCCATGTTTCTCCTATTGATGATGATATTGTAAAGGAGAAATTTGGACAATACAAAATACCTAATTCTTTTGTATTACAGAATTTGGATGTAAAACTGTCTCATCTGTCTTCGACAGAAAGGCCAGTTATCATGAAACTCATTAATGAATTTAATGACATTTTTTCTGATGTACCAAAACAGACTAATGTTATAATGCATGATGTAGATGTTGGCGAGGCTACTCCAGTCAAGCAGCATCCTTACAGGGTCAACCCTGAAAAACTTGCCATACTTAGGTCAGAAATCAAGTATATGCTTGAAAATGACCTCATTGAACCAAGTTCCAGTAGCTGGAGCTCCCCATGTGTCTTGATACCTAAACAGGACAAGACTTATCGTTTTTGTACAGACTACCGTAAGGTAAATGCTGTAACAAAGACCGATTCGTTTCCTATCCCTAGGATAGACGATCTCATAGATCGTATTGGTGACGCTAAGTACATCACCAAAATAGACCTACTTTCAGGTTATTGGCAGGTTCCCCTGACTGATAGGGCAAAGGAAATCTCCGCCTTTGTCACCCCTGATGGTCTGTACCAATACAAAGTGATGCCATTTGGCATGAAGAATGCTCCTGCCACTTTCCAGAGAATGATAAATGCCCTGCTTGCTGACATGGAGAATTGCCACGCATACATAGACGATGTAGTAATTTTTAGCCAAGATTTTTCTAGCCATTGTAAACAACTGCATTGTCTTTTTACTAAACTTTTACATGCAAAAATTACTGTAAACCTGAGTAAGAGTGATTTTTGCCAGGCTTCCATCCAATACTTAGGCCATATGGTAGGACAAGGCCAGGTGAAACCTGTAATGGCCAAAGTAGAAGCTATCCAAGCTTTCCCTATCCCTGCTGATCGGAAACAACTCCGAAGATTTTTGGGAATGTCTGGATATTATAGAAAATTTTGCGAAAATTTTTCTGTCATTGCCAGTCCTTTAACAAACCTCCTGAGAAAGAACGTCCGATTTACTTGGACGGATGAATGTCAGAAAGCCTTTAACCAAATTAAGCAGATATTATCTAGCTCCCCCATTTTGATGGCTCCTGACTTCGGAAAACCTTTTAGGTTAGCTATTGACGCCAGTGACACAGGTGTTGGGTCAGTCCTTTACCAAGAAGATAATTTCCAAGTAGAGCACCCTATTTGTTTCTTTTCCAAGAAATTTAATAGACATCAAAGAAATTATTCTACTGTGGAAAAAGAATGTCTTGGGTTGATTCTTTCTATACAACACTTTGATTTTTATATCAGTGGGTCCAGATGGCCACTGGTTGTATTTACTGACCACAATCCCCTTATATTTATCCACAAAATGTCTGGCAAGAATCAACGACTTCTCAGGTGGAGTTTATTTTTACAAGAGTACAAACTAGATCTTAAACACATAAAAGGCAGCGAAAATGTTATCGCCGATGCCTTATCTAGATTGTAAAAAGTATTTTGATGTATATTTTTTTTTTATATATATCATGATAAATACATTCTGTAATGTAAATATCATTTTTGTAATTGGTCTAAAAAGATTTCCATTTCGTGGAAATGTAAACTTTTTATTTTTAGGAGGGAGGTGTTACGTATCTAGGTAACAATGCCTAGATACTATTTTTTTCTTGACCTGTAGGTTGTCTGCCCCTTTGTGTAATAAGTTTTTTATTTTATTTTTCACGGCGAGTCAAGCCACACAGACAGTGACCGGTCCTTGACCTATGTGTGTACCTCTGGTTGAAAGGAGGGTGGTTTTTTTGTTTCTTCTGTCTCTTTGAAGAGCGTTCTAGATCTGGGTGTTGATGACTTATTCTGTTCTAGAAATTACTAGATTTGTCTTGATATCAACGCGCGGTATATTATATAAAGACCGCCCGTGTAACGTTGACAGACAGACATACGGAGACAGCCGTGAGACAGAATAGCGTGGACATTGCGTGACCCGTGCGTGGTATACCAATTGATCGTGTAAGTTCAGATTTTTCTTTTTTCAAGGCCTTGCTTGTATTTGTAATTATATTTTCAAACTCTGGTATTGTAATATTTTTACATGCCATTTTTGTAAAAGGGTTTTGGTCAACCCTCCCATTTTGTATTGAGTAAATGTTTTTTTTTTTTTTTTACTTTATATGATTCATTTAAAAGTACTATTCGAGTTATATTTTATTAAACATTAAGTTGATATTTTACCTTCCGATTTCTTGTGTCATTTTTTTTTGTTATTCATTGTAAGTCTTTGATTAAATTCAGACTTAAGATAAGTGACACAACAGCTTTTTCTATTGTCACGTTCCCCTAGGCAAGCCAATTTAAAATTAGAATTCAATTCGTAATACGTGACAACATATTAAAGCAAGGAAACAGTAGAAACTGTAGTACAGATGAGACCCCAGACAGAACGTCCTCTGCTCAAGAACAATGCTAGAACTAACGTGTGGCTCATATATTGAGAGTTACCTGTAAGCATAATTTAAGCCCAGATCCTGAATAGTAGAGCTACACGTAAGCATAATTGAAACACAGACCATGGTTATGCTTACTAGAGTTAGCCTAAAGCCTAATCTTAACACAAAGCTTAATAGTTATCTATAAATGTAATCTAAATACAAATCCATCATACTAAAGTTAACCATAAGTCTACTAACACAAATCCTACATACTAGAGTTGACCCTCACTTAAGTAACAAGAGTATTATTGTTTTATGAATTGTTTTTATTTCCTTATAGAATCCATGTTGTACCTAGTGGGTAAAAGGCACTATGAAAGTTGAGAGTGATGTCATCACAGCAGTTCACTATGAGGATTGTTTGAATCTTGTTAAAGAGTTTTAATATTATAGGAACTAATTGATTTTTTACTTTATTGAAACCTTATTTATTCTGAGCAAATGTAACACATTGGTGAAAATAATTCTGTATTTATTTATTTATCAAATCTGAATCACATTGGGTAACAACTTTTTGACTTTCATTAATATTTTTTGGGGCGCTGGTTAAATGTCTAGTCTGTGCACAAGTTTTTGGTGAAGGAAGAACAAAGTCAGACTATCTAACCACTTAGTCATAATGATGGTGATGATTATTTACACATTGCTGTTGTTGGTCTGCTGTTAGCTTACTAGTTCCAGCTTGCAGTGTCAGGTGTCTATCGATGCCACTGGTAATTATTACTACCCTTGTTCATAATTCCTGTATGACTTTGTCTGCAGTCAATTATATGTCACATCAAGCATTGAATAAATGTCAAGCTTCAATGCCCTCTCTTTCTTGTGTCATTTACTGTGGATGAAGAGTGCGGACTTGACCTTTTTATGCTATGCAATTTGGAGAAATTAGGATTTATAGCTTTAATCAATATTTAACAAGTCACTTTTTTTTATTTACCAAAGATTACCTGTAAGACATTGTCATTTATCTAGAATGCATTACTAATTGAACTTGTTATGTTTATCACTTTTGTTTATTGGTCTATTTACAGACAAATTGTGTGTATGACTTTATGTTCACACTTTTTGTTTCTTTGGTACATCTGGAACCTCATTAACACCTCCTTCTGACATATCTACGCAGGAACTGTAATTAGGTGGGAGGTTGGAGATTTTATGTTCTGCGAGAGATTGTATGAGAGAGACAATGCTATGCAGGATACTTTTCTCTGTGTCAGAAAATTGTTCTATACAAAAGATTGTATTATGCAAGAAACTATCTTATAAGACTGATTATGATATGCAAGGAAATGTTAACCCTGTGAGAGAAGATTGTGGCATACAAGAGATTGTACAATGCAAGAGGTTGTGTTTTGTTTACAATTTATTCCACAAAATTATTGTTGCCAAGACAGTGTCAGCAACGACCAATGGCTTCCTAATCTTTGGATATCATAGCAAATGTTCTTCCTTGAGTTAATTTTAACCAGTTCGTTAAGTAATCTGAAAATGAGGTCAGTGGTGTCCCAATTATGTGTGCATACTGACAATGCAAATCAGCCATTATATGTCAATTCAGCCATTTCTTTCTCTTTTTTAATTAAAAATTGAAAATCAGTTTCATAAAACTACTATAACACAGAACATGGTAGTGTACTAATCCAGTTTTTGCAGTGAATCTCACTTTGTGTGTGTATATATTTTTTTTACTGCTGATAACTATACTGTTATGTATAATTCAATGGATATTACTAAGTTATGTTTTATAGTGTTCAAAAGTGTTCATTAGTGACTCTACATACTGTAATGGTCATCATAGAGGGAAGACTTGAAATAATGCTTGTATAGTACTTATAATTCTTAAATGTTTTTTTTATAATTCATTATATATTTTGTCACCCCTTTACATATTGTTTTGTGGTAAATTAAACCTTATAATTTACAATCCATGTTTTTAATGACCTTTTTTTTTTGTCTTTTTTAGCATTGCAGATTGATTATGTCATTTGGTGGGGGGTGGCGGAGTGGTTATAATAGAGTTCTACCGAATGAACCAAAGGGTCCCAGGTTTGAATCCCTGTGAAGACTGGGACTTTGAATTTTGGAATTTTTAGGGTGCCCCTGGGCCAACCCAACTCTAATGGGTACACCGAAGGTGGTTGGTCGTTGTGCTGGCCACAGAATCAGATGACCTTTACATCATCTGCCCCAGCTAAGACTGCCTAGCTACAGTGAAATACTGCACTCCTCCTTAATCTACTGTCTTGAAGACAAGACTTTTTTTTTGGAGACATTTCAAATTGGCTTTATCATGGGGGAGTGGTGTCGTTTGATTCTCTGAATACTGAGATTCTTAACCTGGATTTTTACGGCTAACCCTAACCCGCACCTGTGTCCACCCAACTTACATTAATTGGGGAAAGTAATGTGCTGGCCACATGACACCCTTGTTAGCTGTCAGTGATAGAAACATTTGAGCGTTACATCATTTCTACTTTATATCTTGGAGGCGCAGTGGCTGAGCGGTAAAGTCCACCCAGCTCTAATCGGTACCTCACATTCGTTGAGGAAAAGGAAAGGGGGTTGGTCATTGTGCTGGTCAGGTAACACCCTCGTTAGCCGTAGGCCACAGAAACAGATGACTTTTACATTTTATAAGCATTACGATTCTAAAAAAAAAAGCATTACAGTGGTTTTTGCGTTTGACCCCAAAACCTCTTCAGTTGGTCTTTAGGGTCTTTTTCATTAGTTACATGGTTGCACTAGGACAGACTTGTAACACATCTATTCTAAGCATATTTAGTAGTACGGTTGGCTTTTACTGAAAAAGGGCGATTTTTATTTTTATCCTCCACAACCTGAAACTGTCTATGGAGACCTAATTGCGACCGCATCTCACGTAGACAAAGCCGTTGTCCGCTGGCGGTCTATTTAAGTTTTCTTTCCGTCTTCTGCGCCTGTCTTCAATAATGGCTTTTCTTTGAGTCTCAAATGTTTGTCTCGCAATCTTTGTAAGAGCTCTCCAACTGTCTCTTTCAGAGGCCATCTGCTGCAAAGTACTTTCCTCTGTGCTAGTGAAGGCAAAGTGGCGCCTGAGTTGATCTTTATAGCGCTTACGAGGGCCACCTTTCTTACGTCCTCCTTTAGGCTCGCCAAACATGATCGCCTTTGGCATGCGGTTGGCCCCCACGCGGGTAAGCGTCCGACCCAGTGCAGCTATCGAATGGTAATTAGTGACGTCGTCTGTTCTAAGTAATTTTGTTTTATGCCGACATCTCTTTGCCATGACTGTGATGCTCTTTATTATTACAAAGCTTGTCGAAACGTGGACAAGAGGCAAAGCACAATATCACTTAGCTTGGCTTGGCTACCTATGAAGGGTGCTCGAGTTTCGACACCCGACTCGAGCATAGTTATGTTTACTGAGCGCCTAAAGGCAGCACAGAAAAGCTTCTCCCAGATACCCCCTCCCTCCCACTGGTCCACAAATGAGATAGGCCCATAACGCCCTGAGCATGCTATAAGCATGCAAGAAGCGCTATATAAAAGCTATGATTATTATATCAACTCAATCTGTCTGGTAAATAGTTTGAACATGTTTTCTCTCCCAATTCCTATTCTTGGATCACGTTTAAACCATAGACTTAGTATATATAAGTCTATGGTTCAAACTTTTGCATTGAATCTGAAAAGACATGAATCAATAATAATAATAAAACAACAACAATTATTATTATTAATTGTTTGGGATTAATTATTTTGTTTAATTTCGAATACATGCTCTTTAGTCCCCTTATTACGTTTTGACACGTTTTCGGATCATGTGGAAATTTTGCATAATTATTCATAGTCGATAACAATACTCAAATCAATCCAATTAACCAATCAGTTAATCATTTAGAACTAACTAAATTAATTTATCTTTTATAGCAGAAAGGGAGATAAACCCAGTTATTTTCTGATAGTTGACAGTAATTGAAGCCAGGACACATTGTCCGTATGTTCCATCTTGCAAAACGCATTAATGTTGAGGGTTTTCTTTTGATTGTATTGGCAGGTGCGGGTGAGCAGCTTGCTTTTTTATTTTGTCTTAGCACCAAGCACCCAGTGGTTAGGGTCAACACACGCCTCTCTTCCATACTGACTGGGTCCAAAGGGATGGCAAGCCATCACAATTTGGGGTCAGGTGGCTGCAGGAGTCTGCCAGAGAGCAGTAGTCTTACTACTGTCCCCCCGCCTACGGGGCTCCAGAACCGGATTTTCTGTTAGGGTTTACTCCCTTAGCCTTAGACCTTACAGGGACACACACACAAGGCAGTGCGGCTATTGACCTATAGCTAGGGGTTTGGTTTGTGGGCAACAGGGCGTGTCCGCACGCCGACGGGCCATGCCTGCCTCACATCTTGGGGCCAAACCTCCTCCGAGACCCTTGCAGTTTAGCCTGAGGCTTCGCAGACTCAGTTTCCATCTGCCACCACGAGGAGGTACTGCATAGGAGAGGCTATGTACTGGCAAGAGAGACTTACAAAATTGCTCCCCTTTCACAGATGCTAGCCAACGGTGGCAACAAGTTAAGCTACCACACTAGACGCTTCACACGGCCATTGGACAGACAGCGGTTCCTTCCCTTAGATAAGCTTTGTTTCTGAAAAGTAGCGAATTCTTGTTTCCGTTGCTTGTAATATTTCTTTGTCCACTATGATTCGATAATGGAATTTTCAAAAGTGTCCGTTAGCACAGCAAGAAAAGTTCTAACTTTTTTTACAAAGTTATATATGAACTCACTCTGCCTGTCTGTCTGTTGGGCACGACATGGCCTAAATTGTGCCGATGTGCCAAAAATCTAAAATCTAAAACTGTCTGTCTGGTAAAAGTTTGTACACGTTATTTCTCCGACACCCAATGTCAGATCAAGCAGAAATTTTGCAAGATTATTTCTTTTACCTGGCAACACAATAATAGAAACAAACAAATTAGTTAGGCATAATTAACTGCTTGTAATTAATTATTGTGTTTGGTATCTCGAACAAGGGAAAGAGATTATGCGTTGAACTGAGGTGTTGGTATAAGCTGAATTAGTCCACTTTATAGGTCATCGCTTTAAAGTAAGTTTGAAACAAACATTAGATAACTATAGGCTACAATCTTCTATTTTCAAACATCCATCACTATAGTAGAGTGGTTACTATTTCGGCTTGAGGATATGCTTGTGTTCGAATTTAGGTCGTTCCCCCCCCCCCCCCCATTTAAAAAAAAAAATAAGGCCTAAATGCAGCTAAAAACGATTACGGTAAAATTCACACAGATACCCCTTTCTTTCTCCCCCCTTTTTCCTAACTGGCCCTGATAATTGATAAGGATCATAGCGTATCGAGAAAGCTAAAAGCATGAATTTTAAATAGCGCTAACAAAAACAATTGGTAAAAATATTTCTAAGCTTACAGATTTATTGTTGTTGATCTAGATCTATTACAAAATTTATTATATGACCATTCGTAATAAATTGACACACCTACACTTCAAAAACGTTTTTTAAAAGTATTTTTATGTTTTTTCTTGTTTTAATGACTGGGTCTGAAAATGTTTAAGTAGCTATTTGCCAATTTATTATACGTCTCGATCTGAAGTCATCAGTGGTGAATCGTTTAGCAGATGTTGACATTAAAACAAAATGTAGGACCTAGGGAGTCTAGATCTATTAAATCTTTAGAGAGGTCTCCAAACAGGCTAAGGTCTCTTTGACTCATGAGATCGTAGCCTAGCCTACTCCGAAGAAAAGAAAGGAAAACGAACGAATCGCAGCGCGTGAAGAATTTCCCAGCATTCTTCCATTCTTACCCAAAATGGAGGATCTTTCGGTTGAAGTTGGTGGAAGCAGTGGTGTTTATTATAAAGTACGTAAACACTAGACCTGTTATTTTTACTTTATCAGTAATTATTTATTAAGATTTGGAGAATGCAATCTTGAAATTTAGTTTAGAGTGTTATGTTTTTAACTTTTTAACAGCTCTAAATCAAATTTTGGTTGATGTTAAGACAAGAATCAAGTTTGCATTTTTTTTTTGATTGTGAGTGAGTGTGTGCAATTTTGAGTTTATGTTGTGGTCTTTATATAACTAACTAAGCCTAGTTAGAGTTAGATCTAGATTCCAGATTTAGAATATAAATCTAGATATTAATTTAGATCTCTAGATAGTCTCTTTACTCTACACTAGATACTAAGATTAGATAGTTACAAATACAGTAGATCTAGATTCAGATTTGAGATTAGATATCATTATTACATAATGATGATAATAAATTTAATACTAGACTCTATTAATATTAATAGGTTTGTCTTTAGTCACTTTAGACTTAGACTTTAGGCTAGCTATCTAGTCTATATTTAGATTTTAGAGGTCTAGATCTGCTAGATTCTACATTTACTACTACTCTAGAATCTAGATCTAGTATTCTTGAAATTCATCTACTCTTGTCTAGAGTCTTCTCTACTAGAGTTTAGATGCTGAATCTTAGAGACAAGATTATATTTAATTATTCTAGATTTAATCTTGAAGACTAGGACTAGTCACTGACTAGCGACAAGTGTGAGTGTCCAGAGACATATAGATCTACTAGCTCTATTATATTATATGTAGTAGAATTCCAATATCTAGATTTAGAATTGAATATTATATAATAATAATAAGAGCTATCTAGGATATATAAAAAAAGAGATATAAGAAATTTATAAGAACAAAGACAATTCAGGCTTATTGGGTGTAGGAAGTTGGAGAAGGTTTTGTCAAGTATTGAAGATCATCATCATTCCTTTTGGTTCCTCATGGAACATAGGGCCTTGACAAAAACATGCCACTCTCCACAGTCTCTTGCTAGTTTTTTATGGTTTCCCAGCTCTTTCAGGTCCTCTCTACTTCTTCTAGAACACTTCGTCGCCATGTTCTTTT